GTTATTTGTACATATGCTGATGCGTTCAGAAAGCAGTGCTAACATTAACAGCATGACAGCTAATGGTTCGACACCTCTTCACAGCGCCGCAGCATGTGGAGCCGTTGAAATTATTGACCTACTACTGTACTTTGGAGCAAATCTTAGCGCAGTTGATAACGACGGTCTTTCAACATTGCATTATGCAATTCTCCACATACATCCGGACCAACTGGATGGTGAGTTTATTATAAATAGGACAGATTTAGGTGGGGCTCTTCACCTTGTGACAATTGACCGTAGGGGCCACCTTGCTATGTTTTATGAAAACGAAAACAATATTATTAGAAACACCGACCAGTATCGATGGTTAGATGCATTTATTAATTTGATTTTACGTGGTTCTGATATACATGCTGCTGACGTAAACGGCCGAACACCGCTGCATATAGCATCAGCAAACGGTTTGGCCGATGCCGTCAATGTTCTGCTGCAAAGAAAGTCAAAGCTCGAACTTCGTGATAATCTTGGTAAAACACCGTTGGAAGTTGCAGTTGAGAACTGCACGGTAAGTTTGACTACTTCACATTTCAATGAGGGTGAACACTTCCACGACCTGCAGCAGCATTTGCGTGATCACGAAATGGTTGTTTATCTTCTTCTCTCGTCTGGGGCGTCCTTCAGAAAATGCAGTCGTAATGGTACAAGCTTGCTACACAATGCCATTGCGAAAAGAAAACCTTACATCGCTCGACTTTTGCTATTGAAGGGAGCCCGCCTTAGCTGCAAAGACTCCCTGGGGAGAACACCACTGATGGCTTTCATTCAAAATGGTGGAGACTGGGCAGACTTTCCATTTAATGTTTCATTCAACATTGAGTGTGGGAAGCCTTTTCAATTGTCGACCATCCATTTGTTGTGTTATTTTCCTCCAAAGCTGGAAGAGAATAATTTCTTTCAACTCATTACATGTGATGATCAAACATGTTCTTCTAGGAAGTCCCCTTTTCAAAGAGCAATTGAACGTCACAAATTAAAGCACAGAGTCATTGACAATTGCTTAGACGCTGAGGGATTTACGCCCCTTCATAGAGCGGCACAAGGAGCTAATTTAGTAGGTGTTCGTAGTCTCATAAAAATCGGTGCAAATCTGACTTTGCTGTCTCCACAAGGACAAGACGCGATTACCCTTGCGATACTGCACTCGGGGGGAACCATCGGGAACCATCTTTTTGGAAACGAAGAACTGTTAGCTAGAAAAGATAACGCATCTCTTGTGGCTCTCCAGCTTCTTCACCAAGCGATGAAAACTCGTGGTTTCCAGATTGTATGTGACCCTAGTAAACGCGAACTGACTCTATACCATTTGGCAGCTTCTCGCGGATTGGTAAAATTCATACAGGAGATATTAAAAGAAAAAGAGCAGCATAAGTTAGATGCGAGTTGCCCAAACAAAGACGGGATCACGCCACTTTACTTGGCGAATGTATTCAGCTTTCATGTAAAAGGTGAAAGTTATAATCCATGGAAAGAGGTCATAAGAATAATAAAAGACCATGGAGGTATAATGATGTTGCCGTCTAAAGATGTTGAAATGAATATCATTTACAGAAGGTTATTTGGTTGGATCCCCAATGGTCTGGAAATTAATCTAAGAGGGGATGTCCGAGATTTTGCTTTAGGGCTTGTGTCTACATTTCAAAATAGGCAGAAAAACTTGTCTCACTGTAGGCCGGAAGGCTTAAACGCAAAGAGTATGGAGATTGGTAGTCCTTCATCGCTAGGGCGCGTCTGGAACGAGTTACTTCGACAATTAAATATACTTAACCTTAGAGGCGTAAAATATTCCCTGTTTGGTTTCACTAAGTTAGTTTCGTCAGCTCTAGATGACCTAAAGGTGTGTAAGTTGCAATTTGACCGTTCTGAATTTTATACGAAGAAGTTAAGTTTATCAACGTCCACCTATCGATCAGTAATTCATGCGTCAAAATTAAACAACACAGCCACTGGTTTTCGTCATCGTTTGGCAGTTATTTCTGAATCAATACACGAAATAGTCTTGGAGGTAACGCCAGTGTATTTTTTCTACTTGATGAGGCTGTGGCATCATGAAGTATTTCAGCATTTCGCTTGTATTAAGATAGTGGTTGATCGGTATGGACGATTCTTCTTCGACGACAACCACCTGAAACGACTTATTGCACAATACGAAGAAAGTACTCCAACTTGGATGTTGACTACCGTCTGCCATTCACTACAGAATACGTTTATGACTTATTTGTTAAGATATTTATCGAAAATTAATTACACTGAATTTACTACATTATATCATGAGTATCCAGACTTCATAAAAAAAAGGATGGGATGGACTACCGTTCAACAGTTCGGTGACGTCAATAACTCATGGCCCTTTGATTTTCTTGTTAAGTTTACTTTAGGGCTATACCGTCAGTATGAATACTTAAAAATACTCAACGTTGGATTAGAACCAGGAACTCACGTTGTACTACCTTCTAAAAGGATAAAGCAAGCAAAAGTATGGGAAAAAGCGCAACACACATCGGATTTAATATCAGATCTACTGAGAGAAATACACCACTTCGGTTAACGTTTCTTGTCCCAAAAGAATCCAGAAAGAAAAGAAGACCTAGAGCAGAAAGAGTGATCATATCCTACGAATCTTCGAGAATCTGAACAGAGCCTTCCTCCTTCATAGTCTTAGGTACTGGGAAGTGAAGTGCTGCGAGCAAAGCTTATGCAGAAAATTATATTACATTCTATATACTCTGAATTAGTTGCAGTTTATTTCGAATATCTTATTCTGATTATTTGTAACAGAATATGCATGTAACGCAGCACGACACATTGCATTGGTGATTAATGAAATTTGAACTTTCAACCAAGATATCAAATGAACTTATTTGTTTTGCATTGCTTAAGGAAAATCTTTGGCAATTATTTTTAAAGTGTATATATCAAATAAGTAAGTGAGAATAAACAAGAGTACTATTTGTCTGAAACCTGTCCACAATTAATAACGTTTATAGCATGAGTGATAGAATAACTGGCTGTCTTGAAATCACCGGCAGCCCAAGCTCCCGGGAGGGGGGATACTCCTGGGAATTCCTGGTGGGGGTGTGCCGCCCGGTTCTCCAAATCATGACCCTATTTCAGACCAAAAACTGTCATTTTCCACACCCGTTTTCAGACCAGGCCTCTAAAATCCATAATCGTTTTCAGACCTGGCCTTTAGGCAGAAATTATGTTATCATTACTTAGATTAGAGCGCAAACAAAAAAATTCTCCAAATCCATTTCGATTTCGCTTATTCCTCTTTCCTTCTTAGACATTTTGAATTGAAACGATAAATAGGTTCATACACTCCCGTATTTCCCTCGAAAACCATACCCGATTCCAGCCCAAAATGGACAAAGTGTATACCTGTTTTCAGACCAAAACGGCTCAAAAACGCTACCCGATGGGGCTGCGCATACCTATATAGCTTACATAAGCGAGTACCCCCCCCCCCCCCCCC